TTTTGTTCATGTTTTGTAATTTGTTTTCTCTTTATCTGTTCAAGTGAAGCAGGAAGTCGAATTCAATCAGAGATTTTTGTCACATTCATCAATAAAGTACCTTCGAAAAGAGCCAAACAAACCTCGAATAAAATAGATTCTCTTCTGCTTTTATTAGCACAAATATGTTTAGTTGAAATTGAGAAATAGACGAGAAAAAACAATAAATTGATGCTGAGAATGAGAGACAACAATAACAAAAAACGTAACATTTACATCATTTGAATTTACGACAGCGCGATGTGTGTTCGATTATACACAATTGGCTGGAGGCGTGGCAAACAACCTTTGCTTGCACTTGAGAGTTCGACGACAGGTACGCCGTTCCGATACATATTCTACATACACACATATACATCGCCGCCAATATACCCCATACACATTCGAATATTGGTGTGTCCAATGAAAACATATATCCGAATGAATTTGTGGAAGCGTATAGCTCTCTCCATTGTATTCGTGTGGAAGTGGAAATATCATTGAATATGTTTTTTTACGGTGAGCTTGCCTCTGTGCTGCTGCTGCTGCTTCTTGTGCAATGTTTACACAATTTTAAGTGATTCTGCGCGGTTGTTCACATATTTATGCTCCGGAATCCACGGACAATTTTTGGTCTCATTGTGTTTTTGTTCCCTTCAATTTTTGGCCCAGCTTTTGCTGAAAAAATGAACATTTAAACAACTAGAGAAAATATGAAAATATGGATATGATCGGATCTAATAACATGCTTGTTTATTTTTCGTCTCTAATTAAAAGTTTCATTGCACAAAATTTTCTATATATCTAATTCACATGCTTTTCTCATATATGCTTGCTTGTCTCGTTATGTGAACATTTAGTTTTCGGAATCAGACACTAGAATATCACATATCAATGTTGATACAATGAAAAATAGATAATTTTTTTAACTTCACATGTGAATTTAACAAACAAATCCAGTAATTCGATGTGATTTACATTTTTTTCTTTTTTAGCCAATGGTTTAAGGTAAATCTAGATAAATTCCTTTCGAAAATCTTTTTTTTTTATGTTCGTCGACATGGGAAGCGGCAGTACTTTTCCATTTATGACGTTTTTGAAATGAAAAAAAAAAAAACTTTAGTGTCTTAAGCTTTAATTCAGAGGTTTGGTTGAAATGAAAATAATGGTCTCGAAAAAAAAGCCAAGTGCGTTTGTTACGAATTGTTTATTCATGAATTCAAGGTAAAACGTGTTGGTTCTCAGTACATTTTACGCACAACAGAAAGATATTATGTTCGGTCTTTGTACGCAAAAAAAAAACATGAATGTTTGGTTCAACTTTCATGACGATTTCGCCGTCAAGTAGGCGATTTCCGGTCTTTTACTCGCTGAATAAGCATTTAACATAAACATTTCCAGTTAAGAATACGAAGAAAACAAAAACAGAATCGCTGAAATCGAGAAGTGTGTAAAAATGGTTTAACACTCGTATATCAGTAATATAATAAACATTATTTTCTTTATTTCCATCCAGGAAAAGGAGGGTTTTTTTGGCGGTTTTATAATTTCAAAATTTGCTTTTGGTAACAAGCAATTATTGGTTAACACAACCGTGCCCGTCAAACATTTTCATACGTTTAGCATGCTTCTTTAGGTGTTATGACGTTGTTGCTCTTCAATTTCTAAACTTTCCCGCATCAAATCCGTTATTATTCTTCGAATTTTTTAAAAAATGAAAAAAATGAATGCTCCCAAATTAAAAATTAAGTTGAAGAGCCAAAATTAATACCACATTTGGATTTTACCGATTTTCAATTCTTGATATTTTTGTGTTTGTTTACAGACGAATCGGTTGGCAACGCGTGCTGTGCGCACTTTATCTAATTACACGGGTATCAAAATGAAGCACGGAAATGATTAGTTCCGCGTGAGGAGTGCGTGTGGCTTCAAATCAATGCGTTGTCTATTTAAACGAGTATTCACAATGCAAAAATGTTGGGCTCTGCCAATTTGATTTATTATTCGAACCGTGCTTCAGTTTTCATGCATGAACTGCCTCCACCACTGTATTATATTCAAATAAATGTAACCCCTTTTTCATGCTTAAAAACTCCATTGCATTACCAGCATTACGTTACGCAGTGGCGCATCACATGCTTGCTGAATATTTCGATCTAGTTTCTTTTTTTTTCAATTTTTTTTTGACGAAAAAATGAAGCATGAAAATCTATAATAAATTCAAAATGCGCCATGCTAAAGTTCAAAAGAGCGAATCCGAAGCGGACGCAAAATAAAACTTATGAAACAATATCAGTGCACCTTTTGTTGTTGCTCTTTCGATTGACAAAGTTTTCGTTCACACACAGAATCAGATTTATGGGAAAAATTTTCTCGCCTTTAATTCGTCGCTTACTGAGTCCCGTTTCACATTTCTATCGAATCAAGTGTCGGTACGACAAACTTATTTTCAAACTTTAAATCGAAGTATATACAATGCTATAATATAAATTAGTTGTGTGTAGTTTATTTGGAAGAACGTGGGAGACAGTGCAAATTGAAAAGCAGTTGACGCAGAGGTCCCCTTCGAAAATACGAATTCATAAGCCAAAATGATTTATTAACGATTGCTACCACAATTATTCCACTGTTTTTATAACAATTTTCTTTCGTTAGTCGAACCACGTTGAAAAGATGCATGGCTGAAGATGTTTGGTGGGTCTCTTTTCTTGAAGATGGTTTAACTTTTGGACAATTAATCGCTTGATTTGAAAACAGATTTTCTCGTATAATATGTGATTGTCGAAAAGATGTTTTGCACAAAGATTTGTAAACCTAATACCGATTTGCAGATATGAGAATGTATCAATCAAATTACAGAAAATATATGTGGTGCGAAAAAAAAAAATCGAAAGGATTTTTCTCTCCCTCGAAAATTTATTAAGTTGCACATAGAATCTATTGGCAATAAACCAGGTGGTTGATATCATGGAAAAATCGCATTTCATAAAGTCACGTACCAGGACAGCAAACCTTCGCCGATGAGAGAATTGTGATTACACTTATTATTATTATCGCTGGTGAATCTTCATCGCACCCTCATTTTCACTGACGTACACTGAGCAGCACAAAGCGTAGTGCCTGTAAATAACGAACAAAGTGAAAAGCGAAAAAATAGAAGAAAAAACCCAACGAACGAAAGAAGAAAGCAGGAGATGACAAAAAATTACATTTGATGATGATAATACTAAAATGTGAAAATAAAGTAAATATTTCGTTCACGGCCGTTTCTCATCGCAAACAGTAGCAAAAGAGACAGAGGCGAGAAACAAAAAAAAATAAACGATGCACGAAGGAGCGAATCGTGCATGTGTGAGACATGGTAGCGATTCCAACACTTGAAGACACCAAAAAATGTGTGAATCTGTCTCATTGTCTCCTGTTTTTTTATGTGGATTGTTGTCAGTTGGTGATGGCACTAAAGCGATAAAGACATTTAACTCATCACTATAACGAGTTCCAATTTATTGGATTACATCAATGACACGCACACACACACACACATACACGCACGTTGTCATTTCCAATATCAATTCGATAGTGCATTATGGAAATCTAGTTGGGTTCAATTCGGCTTGTTTTTTTGTCATGTTCCAATCTACTTTTTCTCTCTGCGTATTTTCTTTTATTTACCTACGAGAGTTGCATAACAACATAAAAAGTAGAGAGTAGCCCAAACAATAGATTGATGGACTCGATGACACTAATAAAATTGCCGAATGCTGGACAAATCAACGAGATCCAAACCCAATGCGGCATTAAGGAAGATAGAAAAAAAAAACGAAGAGCTAGGGAAAAAAATTTATGTCAATTCCCAATCAATATAAATAAGGTATCGGTGGATTTCACAATAAAACTAAACGGACGAATCGAAACAGGGGGTTCTATTGACATTGACACGTTATTTCAGCGTTGCTAATAATAATAAGCTAGATTTTATAAATAACATGTTGTAGTATGAATTGTTCGGGGCTAATTTGATGAAAATCATAGTGAAAATGTGTGTAAATTGGTCGATGCACAACAAACACACTAACTCAATCAATTTGAGCTTCGTGTTCAATCAAAATAAAGATCTCGACTTTGTGGCCAAAGTGAGAAAAAAATTCTATTAATTATGCAGGCAAAAAAGACTGAAAACCAAATTCATTCATGCAAATGCATTGACGGTCTAAATCGTAGAGAAAAATGTAATAAAACCAAGTACGTGATTCAAGTATGCGGTTAAAAATTTACTAAGCACTCGAAATATCCTCTTGTGGTTCCGTTAATCGATGTATGTGTGCTGAGCGACAAGCAGTAAGACATCCAAAACAAATGGTATGCATCACTTTTTCCGAACGAATGAATGGCTCTGTATAGGCGAGAAAGAGAATTGAAAGTTGAGAGAAAACAATAGAGGCAGCGAAGAAGCGTGCAAGAGTGATAAAGTGTAAGAGAGAAAGAACGTGTGCAAAAAAAGTCAATAGAGACGCATAGAGATAAGAGATTAGACGGCGCAAGAGACAGCGGGTTACAAAACAGATAAAATGACAATTTTCTATAGAATAACTTGGCATTGTTGACGCAATTCAGTCTCAAGCATTTTATTTTAATATGCATTTTGTATTTGAACAATGGCCTAAAATCGTTGTACATAAAATCATGCAAAACCTGAATTGAACAATCCCAACTCGTATTTACTTTGCACAACATTACAATGTAAATAAGTTCATCATAATTTTGGATTATCCGTAAGAATCAAGTCTCATTCAAATGAATTTATTGTTTATTTGCTCATTTGATTTGAATTCAGCATACAATGTTTGCCGTACATTAACAATGAACATACTACCGATATGTTCAACACACGAATGAACGTCCGCATCGGGCCACACTGAGTTTCGTATACGGAACGACCGATTCATTCACTTCATATGTCAACTGTCAAAACGGAGCGCATGTCATATAATTACACAACTTAATATTGAAGTTACCAATGCGTATTTTCTCGCATTGAAAAACATACGAATAACTATTTGTGCAAAATAGTTTAGTTTTCCCTTTTAAATTTTATAAAATTGTTTCATTCGTGGTAAGCATTTTTCATCAAGTGTGCTGTGCAACCAATGTGAAATCATATGATTTGTTGAATATTAAAAAGCAATGTTATCTAGTTGAAAAAGCATGCATGAATGTACCAAAGTGAAGAATCGAGATTTTGCGAATGAAAAAAATATATGATAGAATCTATAAAAAGTTACATGTCGTCATTTGACATTGATGCGAATGCATCTAGAACATTTTCGAAATTTTTATTTATTGATCTGTTTGTTCTTTTAATTCGTTTCGTTTTGCAGTTAGATTTAGTTTGGTTCCTTGTAACCTATACGTACACATACACACACATTCACAGAACGATGGAAGAATACGCACGTGAACCTTGTCCGTATCGTATTGTCGATGATTGTGGTGGTGCATTTGCTATGGGCTGTATTGGCGGTGGTGTATTTCAAGCGATAAAAGGTTTTCGAAATGCTCCATCTGGATTCAGCAGAAGAATGGTTAGTTACATCTATATATAAATAAAATGAATGAATAAATTGTGACCAAAATAGAGTGCTAACAAATGTATACTATATGTTATGTAGCTTGGCAGTTTGCTTGCAGTAAAACATCGATCGCCGATTATTGCTGGAAATTTTGCGGTGTGGGGTGGTATGTTCAGTACAATAGATTGCACATTAGTTCATTTCCGAAAAAAAGAAGACCCATGGAATTCGATAATCAGCGGTGCTGCTACAGGAGGCATACTGGCTGCACGAAACGGTACGTAAATCTTCTTATAAGAATATTTTCGTAGTGGAATTTTGCTCTGATTTTAATTTATTCGCATGTGCAGGTGTACCGGCAATGGCAGGCAGTGCACTTATCGGAGGTGTTCTATTAGCTTTAATCGAAGGTGTTGGCATTTTGTTTACACGATTGTCGGCCGACCAATTCAGAAATCCATTACCACCAACAGAAGATCCATCCGTTTTGGGTGATGCTACCCAAAACAATAACAACAGTAATTCAGCTGGTTCATTTTTCGGGCTCGGTCAGTCAACACAATATCAATAATAAATTTCACAAAGTTTTTAGACATCATAAACAAATTGTATTGTTGTTCAAACAAATCAACAATTGTACATTTACTTTAATAAATCAGAAAGAAAAAACCGTTAGAAAATTGTTGCAAACAGACAAAAAAAAGTAAACATGAATGTGTCAGTGTTTTATTTCTTGCGTAGAAAATTTATCAGATAAGTGAATAACCGTTGTGGCAAACTTCCAACGAAATTTCAAATGATGACTTGGCTAATTACCATTTTTATCACTCTATTCACTGAGCGAACATAGACAAAAGTGTACTAAAGATTCTATTGAAATCGAGAGTGAATTGCAATCACCCAATGTGCTTGATGATTCACTGATGTGGACGATCTAGTGAAAGAGATACACCAAACCAACGAAAAAGAACTAAAAGAAATATTCGAACTTTGTTTATTAATTCATTATCCAAATTAGTGGTTCCCAACTCAGTCAGGAGTCGAGGTTTTTATTTTATAAATGATAAAGTTTCTGTTGCAATTCTGATGCTTGTGAACAGTGTTAATAAATCAAAATATATGTCAAACATATTCTAACGCTCTAAAAGTCACTGATGTCAAAATGACAATATGATTTATTGCAATTTTAGGTCGTTGTTTTAAAAAAATAATTTGGTACCGCTTGTTTTTGCCGAAAAGTCGTCGATATCTCCTCTTTTAGTTGTTTCTTAAGCATCCTCGACAGCCCGTGTGGAAAAAAGTGACTGGCTGAATGAATAGCTGCAATCAACTGAGAATGATTTTTTTTAACTAAAACAGTCTACCCAGTCGTCTATTTTTCTGATTTTAAACAGTCGACTAATTTGGAACATTAGAGAGCAATAATCAACTGTGATTGAAGTTAATTTGAGTTATATTTTTCTCTTCTGCAATCGATTTACAAATCAAGCAAATCAACTTTCTGATTTCAATTTCAGTTGGCTTAAGTCAAAAACATCCCAAATTAGTTAATTGACTAGTCAGTCAGTAATTTTGCACACGGGAGTGTATATATTAATCTAAATATCGATACATTTAACTGTTCTGCCTTCATTTGAATAAGTTTGATTTTCTTTCCAATCCAAAATCTTGTTTTCTCGTTTTCCGCACAAAACGTTAAATTTTTGAAGTTCTTCGCGGACTACCAGTTGGGAATCACTGATCTAAATGAAGTCTCAATCTCTTCAAATATCGCGATTGCATCCAAAAATGATTCAATAGGCGCTTAACTTTTACTAAAACTTTTCTCATTTATGACTTGCAGATTGATAATATTTCCAGTCGACCAATTTCAAAGTTGAAGAACTTGATGAAGTAACGAACAGCACTTAGAATATTGCATTTATGAAAATTAAGTACGTTTGTATAAAAATGTTATAAGTATTCGATTGGGGCCGCTTGCTTACAATAAAAGAACGTTCCTAATATTAAGCTTTACTCCACAAACTTTGTTTATTTAATTATCAAATTCAAGCAACATTCATTGCGGTATCATAATTCAATGCGTACAAAGTTTTGGCAAAAGTTTTCATCTCATTTGTGACTGGCAAATTTATTAATCTTTCAAGTCGACTGATTACAACGCTGAAGAGTTAAATATATGTAAACTACTTGGATTATATATCGCATTTCAAAATCAACGAATTTTTTCTTTGCATGAAAAATGATAATGGCGTTTAGAAAATAGAAATGAATAAATTGATATTAAAAAAGGGTGTATCAAATAAACCGTGATGCTTTTTTTCTCTCTGAGCATTACCGGTCTATCTGAAAACCTATTAGAAATTGCAAGCAGGCAAGACTGTCCTCAGCCGCTTCCACGAATGGTCGGTATCTCGTGCCGTTGTTTTGAATTACGTAATTATTTAAAAGGGTACGTATATGAGATGATGTTTCATGGAGTGCAAAAAATAAAATAAAAGGATTTGTCGCAATGTTTTTGTATTGTTTTTTTTTTTTCAACTCAATATCACTTTGCATGCAACCCAATACAGAATCTTATCTAGCCATTGGTCATGTTAAATGGATCGGAATGCAAAAATGTGCACATCATCACAAAAAAAAAGAGAACGAGTTAATCTCAAAAATTGATATTTCAAACGTGTTTCAGTTTGTTTATTTTTATTTATTTTTTTTTTTGTCTTTTGATGTTATGTGTGAACAGCCTCTGGAGTCCATTCTAATGGGATGGCCAACAATAGTGTACAGCGAAGAATATTGTTTAGCAAATGACTTATGCAATGAGATATTATGTGCAATCGATGACTATCGTGTTCGGTACAATGTTTGTTACTCATTTTTTTTTAGATGAAATTACGGCAGATGTGCAATATGGCTTTTTGTGATTTCAGCAGAAATGGAAACTATTTTGCTGCTTTTGACTCCGAAGTCTACGACCGAGCGTACATAGTGTATGGAATATGTAAAACATTCGAAAGGTAAATCAAAAGCATGCGAAACAAGAAAAAGAAATCATATTGTAATATTATAAATCGTGCCAAACACAGCACATTTTCAGAGAGTTTGCATGGATTCAAGTTTCGATATGGATTGAATTCATTTTAACACCTTGCTTTTCGATTGAATGCGATTGAAATTTCACTATTGCTTCGCTCATGTTACATTAAAAATGAACTCTTTTTTTTTCAAATCTATTTTCAATGTGAATGAATGAATACATTTCTTTTTCGATGTTTGATTTTTTCGAAAATTATTTTTCAGTTTTCGAAAAACAAAAAACAAAATTGGTTTATTTTCTCAAAACATTGTGTGACAATCTGTAGTTCGGTGGTAAGTTTGTTTGAGGGGTTTTTATGCAATAACAATGAATTGTCGTAAATCATCGAACATGCAACCGATTTGTTCTTGTTTCACCCTCTTTTTGTACGACGAATCGGTCCCTAGTTGACTGCGGAAATTGAGTCACCCTCAAATTTGTACGCAGTAAATCGCACACTGATAACCGTTGTTCATAGCGATGCACTCACTTGTATGGGGTATGATTGCTCCGATTCTGCCTGTGTATTTTAAAGTTTACAACTTTCGAAATCAAGTCGACATCCAGTAGATTATATCTGATTTGATTTGAATCTTTGGGAATCCATTCACATAACATCACGTACGTTGTCAGTTTCATCGCATATTAAACTGTTCTATTATTGTCCTGTTGATAGTTTAAGCACTTAATGATACATCTCATTGAATATCATATTACAAAAACTCAAATTGGGGATAAGAGATATCATAAATAATTTTTTAAAGCATTCACAATTGATGCAGTAACAGTAGATGTTTGCCATTTTATTTTTCGTACATCAAACGCCTTCAAATTTATGAGCAATTTGGAGAGTTTTTACACTGACGGGTGCTTGTTAAAATCCGAACTTTAGAGTGTGTCCATTTTCCGTACAAGAACTATTCACACATGACCTAACATAATACGCTAAGAAACAAACACGTGCCAATTTAACTCGCCTGCTTTTTTGTAGATGTTTTTTTTTTTTTTTTGAAAAATGGATGTTTGATTGTCACATATATGATCGCGACACCAAAGATGTCTATACATTTAATCGTACACGTTCTATGTTTCTCTGCATGAATGGCATGTCGCTGACACATTTTTCACCTCCCATTTCAAATTAGAGTTGCCGTTTTTTTCTCTCTGGTGTTACGTTTTTTCTAAAACAAAGGCAATCATTGTGTCAAGCATATGCTTGATTGCATGACATAAACTGTGTTAAGAAGGAAATGAATCGCACAATTACATTTTTCAAACCATGACGAATTTTTCTAGTGGAATTGGTTTCGATGCCATACAATCGACCAAAGAAAACTTTGATGTTTTGGCGTAGACGTAAAATTAAGATGTCCATATAATAATGGTAGTCGCAATTCGAGACCATTATATTGAAATAAAGAATGGAAATCGAGGCGACTGTGTGGTGATAACAAAAACTGGTCGAATGAAATCAATGCGTACGGGACGGGGGGCAAACGCCATAAAATTACACGCATCGCATCATGACTTTTATCAAATAATATAGACTTTCTTTTATTTTCTCAATTTGACCACCAAATTCGATTTCATTTGCCTTTGAAACGGTTACAAATTTTCTTCGATCCAGTGCTTTCTGGTTCGTTTGTGTGTCATTTAAATGTTTTTTTTTTCTTCTTTCGTTTGTTCGATGGTGGTTCTCTTGAGCGATTCCCATTTATTTGATTTGATTTGGTGGTGGACGGCATCGTCAACGTTGATGATAATGACATTATTGTACGTTCGATTTCCGTGCATAAAAATAGATTTCATTGTTCGCCATCGAGGGATGAATCTGAATCTGTCTTTCGGCCAAACTATGTTGGCGTCTCGTGTGAGAGGTAAAATAAGTAAATAACCATAAAATATCCCTAGTGAATTCGAATTTTTTCCTCTTTACTTTCTCTTTCTCTCTATTTAAAAAAAATAGAGACGACATAAATTGTCGTCGTAGTCAATACGATTTAATGCAGTGGCATTTCTCAATAGTATGCATCGAGCGTGCGGTTCACAGTGTATGTATGCACAAATCGAGTCGATTAAGATGCGAATGATGTGATAAAGCGAACATTTGTTGGCTTGAGAAAAGGAAGGAAAAATTAGTATAATAGATGTATCACGTTACGTTTTATTATTATTGTATTATACTAGAGTAAACGATCCTGGAGTAAATTCGTATGTAGTGAGATATACCGTGTGCATCACAATGCCTCTGGCATAAACACATTGCTTGCCTCGTGCGTACCAATGTGAATACCGATAAATTATGATGTGTCGCGCACACTCATTAACAAAACGGTAATGTGACAGTATCGATATCGTCACAACACACCAAGAAAATTACACGTGCCAAGTGAATGAATTGCATTCGTTCATAGACCATTTTCATTCATTGGCCATACCACACTGGCCGATCTCATTACAATTAATTGTAATCGCTATTATGTTTATTTATTATTCGAATGAATAAAGAAAAATTTATGGATATCCATTACGGTTTTATCACGCGGGTATAAATATTTTTGCAAAATTCATTCCATAGAGAGGTGTCGAATATGACCATCTTCGTCAAAGATCACAAAGTCGTTTAACTTGA